AATTAAGGGGAGATTATTCAAACATTATAATTAACTTATATAAGTTTATTTTATTTACTTCTTCAAGTAAATAAAGATTACTTGTATAAGTAGTACCCCTGACTGTAATAAAGACAAGAAAATTTTGCTGAAATTTTTTCTGGCAGAATGAGTCTAGTTAAATTTAAAACAATCAGCAAACAGCTGGAAGTGGATGCATGGCCAACATCATAGGTAACATGAATGAATAAAATAGAGTTTGCTGTATTTATTCTAAATACAAGAGTACACACGCTGAAATGTCTCGCCGTCTTTAATAACCATTGATATTATGTTGATAGTCCTAAATGAAAGCTTTACTACAACTATTACATAAACTTAACATGATCCAAGAAAATGAAGTCAAGGTCATATAAACCAAACGAGAAATACATGTACACCTTACAATCATTCAATACACTAAATATAGTTGACCTATTGCTTATAGTTTCTAAGAAACAGACTTAACCAAGAAAACTAAACATTGACCAATGAATCGTGAAAATGAGGTCAAGGTCAGATGAACCATGCCAGGCAGACATGAACAGCTTACAATCCTTCCATACAACAAATATAGCTGACCTACTGCTTATAGTTTAAGACAAACAGACTGAAACACATAAACTTAACACTGAGCAATGAACCCTGAAAATGAGGTCAAGGTCAAATAAAACCTGCGAGACTGACATGTACATCATAGAATATTTCTATACACCAAATATAGTTGACTTATTGCATATAGTATAAGAAAAAAGACCAAAAACTCAAAAAATTAACTTTGACCACTGAACCATGAAAATGAGGTCAAAGTCAGATGACACCTGCCAGTTGGACATGTACACCTTACAATCATTACATACACCAAATATAGTAGACCTATTGCATAAAGTATAAGAACAAGAGTGCACACGCTGATGTTTCGCCTTCTTAATACTAATCATTGATATTATGTTGATAGTCCTAAATATAAAGCTTTATTACAACTGTCACATAAACTTAACATTAACCAAGTAAACTAAACATTGACCAATGAACCATGAAAATGAGGTCAAGGTCTAATGAACCATGCTAGGCAGGCATGTACAGCTAACAATTCTTCCATACAACAAATATAGTTGACTTATTGCTTATAGTTTAAGAAAAACAGACCAAAACACAAAAACTTAACACTGAGCAATGAACCGTGAAAATGAGGTCAAGGTCAAATAAAACCTGCGTGACAGACATATAGATCATAAAATATTTCCATACACCAAATATAGGTGAACTATTGCATATAGTATTAGAAAAATAGACCAAAACTCAAAAACTTAACTTTGACCACTGAACCATGAAAATGAGGTCAAGGTCAGATGACACCTGCCAGCTAGACATGTACACCTTACAATCCTTCCATACACCAAATATAGTAGACCTATTGCATACAGTATAATAAAAACGGACCAAAACACAAAAACTTTACTATAACCACTGAACCATGAAAATGAGGTCAAGGTCAGATGACACCTGCCAGTTGGACATGTACACCTTACAGTCCTTCCATACACCGAATATACTAGACCTATTGCATATAGTATCTGAGATACGGACTTGACCACCAAAACTTAACCTTGTTCACTGATCCATGAAATGAGGTTGAGGTCTAGTGAAAACTGTCTGACAGGCATGAGGACCTTGCAAGGTATGCACATACCAAATATAGTTATCCTATTACTTATAATAAGAGAGAATTTAACATTACAAAAAATCTGAACTTTTTTTTCAAGTAGTCACTGAACCATGAAAATGAGGTCAAGGACATTGGACATGTGACTGACAGAAACTTCATAAGATGAGGCATCTATATTCAAAGTATGTAGCATTCAGGTCTTCCACCTTCTAAAATATATCGCTTCTAAGAAGTTAGCTAACGCCGCTGCCGCCACCGGATCACTATCCCTATGTCAAGCTTTCTGCGACAAAAGTCGCAGGCTCGACAAAAAAACGGACCAAAACAAAAAAACTTAACTATAACCACTGAACCATGAAAATGAGTTCAAGGTCAGATGACACCTGCCAGCTAGACATGTTCACCTTACAATCATTCCATACACCAAATATAGTAGACCTATTGTATACAGTATAAGAAAAACAGACCAAAACACAAAAACTTAATTATAACCACTGAACCATGAAAATGAGGTCAAGGTCAGATGACACCTGCTAGTTGGACATGTACACCTTACAGTCCTTCCATACACCAAATATACTAGACCTATTGCTTATAGTATCTGAGATATGGACTTGACCACCAAAACTTAACCTTGTTCACTGATCCATGAAATGAGGTCAAGGTCAAGTGAAAACTGTCTGACAGGCATGAGGACCTTGCAAGGTACGCACATACCAAATATAGTTATCCTATTACTTATAATAAGAGAGAATTTAACATTACAAAAAATCTGAACTTTTTTTTCAAGTAGTCACTGAACCATGAAAATGAGGTCAAGGACATTGGACATGTGACTGACGGAAACTTCATAACATGAGGCATCCATATACAAAGTATGAAGCATCCAGGTCTTCCACCTTCTAAAATATAAAGCTTTTAAGAAGTTAGCTAACGCCGCTGCCGCCGGATCACTATCCCTATGTCGAGCTTTCTGCGACAAAAGTCGCAGGCTCGACAATAATCATTTAATGCTAATTTAAACAGGTGGCATGATGAACATTTTAATATTTTTTTTAATGTTAAATATTTGTCATATGTTTGTTTATGTGTGTTTGTATTTAGTAACAATCCCATTGTTTGGATTTTATACTTACAAAATATCTTAAATCATCTTAGGCTTGATGGCAGAGGGCTTCATCAATAAATTACTCTTTACCAAGTTGAAAAAAAAAACCCAGAATTTCTAGCATAGACTTCAAATTGAGAATGGAAATGGGGAATGCGTCAAAGAGACAACAACTCGACCAAAGAGCAGAAAACAGCTGAAGGCCACCAATTGGTCTTAAACACAGCGAGAAAAGCCTGTACCTGGAGGCGTGCTTCAGCTGGCCCATAAACAAAATTGTGTACTAGTTCAGTGATAATGGACAGCATACTGTTCAAAAAAGAAACTGACATACAGAAATGTATCTTAGAGATTTTTCAGGGCAAACAGACGTGTTTCCAATTTCCTTTAATGAATGAAAGGGGCCTAAGTGGCTGAAATGGTCTAAGCAGTCCAACTATTGTATCACTAGCTTGTCAATACTGAGGTTCTGAGGTTGAATCTTGCATGTAACAGGCGTTAGACTCCAATCTTAATTGCTATATATATATAGATATGTACATGTACCGCCTTATTGTAGTTTTGGTAGTATAATGCAAATATTATATTCCCTGTATATACACATTTATACATGTTAACTACAATGTATGCAAAAAATTCAAAGTCAATGAACCATGACTTATTGTGCGGGACCATATAAACTCCATGCAAATGAGAAATGTTCATGCTTATAAAATTGCATACCAAATACTATTGGCTTATCTTAATTAAGTGGTGCCCGTTCCCCAAAACTCAAACTTTACATGTGATCAAAGTATAAAGTTCAAAGTCAATGAACCATGATGAGGGGAGGGGCCGAGGGGGCCATATAATTTCCATTGAAGAGACTTGCAAATGCTTATACAACTGCATACCAAATATGCTTGACTTAACATAAGCATAAGTGGTTTCGGCCATTCCTCCTTAACTTATCTTATCACAAATTTAAAACAATAGACAAGTATCAAATTTGTGCACTTTCCTGTAAATTTCTTATGTCACAATGCTAAGGTTAATACGTCTCACGGTAAGAACCAATTGTTTTATGATGTTGTTTCAAACCTAATTGTCCTCTGGTCAATCAATGTAACTCATTCATAAAAACATCTCAAGATTGGTGTATTCCACCCTGCACAACACAGAACATAACAGAATCTTTCTTCCCAAAGAATATAAACTGACTGGAGCAAACTACCCCATAACATCATTAACCCTCTTGCTGCCAGCAGTTTTTTAAGATTGCATTTTATGTGCCAGAAAATACTACAGCTAGACGTCTGTGATGTCACATGCCCAGCAATGACATCATTCCATATTAGACGTCACACTCTAAAGACAGTTACATTTGGGAGCCATTGAAGAAAAATATTAGTTTCATCTTCAGTCTTTTATTTGAAACTGAAAGAGAACAAAGGTGAGAATCTTGCATAAATTAAAACATGGACACGTGTCCCTGTGTAGATAAGGACACATATGTTCCTCCAGCAGTAAGAGGGTTGAACTCTTGAAGTTGAACCCTCTGGCAGCTGCCAGTAGTTTTACAAGGTTGCATTTCGTGTACCAGAAAATATGACAGCTCAACCTTTGTGATGTCACTCGATATTATACCACGCTCTAATGACTGCTTCATTTGGAAGCCATTGAAGAAACATACTTCACTGTTTAATCTTCGGTCTTTTACTTGAGAAGCTTGCATACAAAAAAACCATGGAGTGTATAGCTCCAGCACAGCTGATGTGGACACATGTGCCCCTCCGGCAGCAAGATGGGTTAAAATAACAATCAAAAATTTCAAAACATCAATATTAAGTCACATTATTCACATCAAACATTTGAAATATTCCTTTTTCCTTTTTTAAACAGTAATAGTAATAGTCTGTATAATATAAATCTGTCTTGTTCAGTTGTTATAAAAGAAAGGGGGTCACTATATGGAAGAAGCAGAAGTAGATGGGATAGAGTAAGGTCGGTAAAGGATAAAGTAATGGGTTTGGACCAATCATGGTCAAGTAAAAGGCCAGATTTTCAATTTCACACAAAATATTATGCCTGAAATGGATTTACTTTGAATCAAGTTGATCGACTTTTCTAAATAGTGTAGTGACAGATACTCTTACTTACTATTTAGCTAAATCATGACTGTATTAATTGATGCGACAAGTCGGGTTTTCAACTGTCCAATCATTCTAGTAAATAATAAAATATGGAGACAATGTTGTCTGAGATCAACGTTACTGTTGTTTTTTTTTGGCACATAAATGTCCATTTCCGCACAGGCGCAGTGGTAATGGTATGCAAATTTGTTGTGTCTAAACACGACCTCACGTGACCTTTGTGTGATGAAAACTGTAAACAAAAGGTAAATATGTCTATTGAAGTAAAACATTAAAACATTAAATACAAAGCAATACAAATAAATTCAAAGTCAGATTAAAATTTTGTTTTCTACTAATCTGTATTCCTCATTCAAAGGAGCACTTCTTTTGATCAGAAAAGTTCAAGTCTACATTTACACTTATTCCAAATTACATGAATTATTTGAGATGTCATAGAAAATCTATGGTACATATACATGTACTTTATTTACCATAACTCAATTCACAAGCAAATCAACACACTAGAACCTGTTTAAAATGTTTGGAAGGGAACCAAGGAAGATGAAAATATATATGATATTGCACTGTTTCACCTAACATGTTACAGTGCAAAGTTTTATGTAAAATAGTACATGTACATGTAGCACCAAAAGGGACTAGTGGAAAAGAGAAAAAACTGGATACACATTTTTATTACTGAAATATTTAGAGTTAAAACTCTCCCTAATCAATGGCTCACATGCAGTGACAGTTAAGCATATAACTCTTATAAAATCTGATAATGCTTGAGAGGTCTTTTTGTTTTGTTTCAGGAGACTAGCTTAAGATAGTAAGAAGGAAAAGTAGGGGGATTTTTTTAAAAATCAATGGACTGACTACTGTTTGCTTAAAATCCAATGGCAAATGTTTCCTGTATACAGAGGACATTAGTCCTTATATTAAATGGATTAACAGTTTGCCAGTAGCTGAACTACTCTGAAAAGAACTAAATACTTTACAAATCTTGTGTGACTGAGGCACTTTCCTGGATTGACCTGTCAACAGGAATACCCAGTGCAAACAAACCCTTTGACAGCCAATACGTTGCAAGGATGTATTATTAGTACCTGATCATACAAAGAGCATAAGACCAAAAGGGACCTACAAGAAATAGCAAATTAATCTAAGGTAAAGTTTCGACAGAGGTTTGAAACATAGTTTTTTTTTAATTAATATCAAATATTTAAAGGTGTTTATATTATTTTATGTATAAAGTTTACAATTATCTTCATCATTTTGGTTGTTTATGTTATTTATAATATAAATGAGAAATTCAACATCTGATTTATAAATGTACTAAAAATGAAAAACAAATACCATATAGGCACCCACTTAGCCTTCTGCTGAACCATAAGCTCCTGACTTAGGACAGCATAAGCACATCCAGAAAACATGCTACCAAACCTCTTAACCATGTGCATGTATAGGACTGTAAGTGTTCATAACAGTATAGAAAATCATATTTAGTTTATGCTCTCATTTAAAAAAAAACAAAATCAAGGCCAACACCAAAAGATCCCACGACATAGCTTAAATTAATAGATAACCTTTTATACATTAATAAGCATCCACCAAGGATTGACAAGTTCAAATGGATTGTTTTAAAATTCAATACATGTAGATTATATAAACAACATCACCATAAAACTCAGAATTTGTAAGTTTTGTTCATGTACAGTCAAACTTTTTAACCAAGTCTCTGAAAGAATTGAGTAAGGTTTTAAGAAATATGTGGTACCGAAATCCCTGAATTAATAATTTACAAGTGATACACAGATATATCTATTACAGGCACTGGCATAGCAAAATTGTTGTAAAAGACATAAACAGTCGTGACCCTGATAAAAGGCGAAAGGAAATTTCAGTGCCTCCAAAAAAGGAAAATTAACAAAGGGGAACAAAAATTGTTTAAGTTTTTTAAACTGTTTAACATGCTAATTTCTAAGTCCTATATAAATATAAGACTTCGAAGATTCATAAAATTTGCATTCAACGTTTTTTATCAGATATTTTTTTTTACTATCAATGTTGAATCAGTATGAGAAATTCAACATCTGATTTATAAATGTACAAAACTAAACATGAAAATCAAATACCATAGACACCCACTTAGCCTTCCGCTGACCCATAAGCTCCTGACTTAGGACAGCATAAGCACATCCAGAAAACATGCTACCAAACCTCTTAACCATGTGCATGTATAGGACTGTAAGTGTTCATAACAGTATAGAAAATCATATTTAGTTTATGCTCTCATTTAAAAAAAAAATAAAATCAAGGCCAACACCAAAAGACATGACATAGCTTAATAGATAACCTTTTATACATTGATAAGCATCCACCAAGAATTGACAAGTTCAAATGGATGGTATAAAAATTCAATACATGTAGATTATATAAACAACATCACCATAAAACTCAGAATTTGTAAGTTTTCTACATGTACAGTCAAACTTTTTAACCAAGTCTCTGAAAGAATTGAGTAAGGTTTTAAGAAATATGTGGTACTGAAATCCCTGACTTAATAATTTACCAGTGATACACAGATATATCTATTACAGGCACTGGCATAGCAAAATTGTTGTAAAATACATAAACACCCTGATAAAAGGCCAAAGGAAATCACTGCCTCCAAAAAAGGAAAATTAGCAAAGGGATTAACAAAAATTGTTGAAGTTTTTTAAACTGTTTAACATGCTAATTTCCTAGTCCTATAATATAAGACTTTGAAGGTTCATATCACAGTGGTGGGTCCAGAAATTTTCATAAGAGGGGGCCCGCTCCAGTCATGCTTCAGTGATTCCCTATATAATCAACCAAATTTTTCCAACAAAAGGGGGGCCCGGGCCCCCTGAAAAACCCTCTAAATTCGCCTCTGTATCATTTACATTCAACATGTTCAACGATTTTTATTGTATATTTTTTTTGAGGTTCAACATTGATAGTAAAAAAAAAATATTGGATAAAAAAACGTTGAATCTAAAATGATATAAACCTTCGAAGTCTTATATTATAGGTCTAGCTAATTTCCTAGTTTTGATTGAAAAGTTAAAGGAAGATTTAAAAAAAAAAAAATCTACCGGTACCTAATTAAATTTTGAGATACATACATGACATATAAGTTAGTAAAGTTAAATCATACATGTACCTGTGAATAAAAGAAGATGTGGTTTATAAATATATGTACAAATCCAACAAACAAACAAAATTCTCTCTAAGGCAATATAAAGTCTTCAACAATAGAAAGGTGATCATGCAAGTGAATATGTCAAGCTCTACAATTCTAAATTGTCCAAAGCCTAAAAAGTAAAACAAAAGCATTCAGGAAGAACACAAGGCAACCCATGACAAGATCCCTTATTATGGAGATATATTCAAATGTTGTAGGGTTAAACAAAGACACACTTACATGTACTATGTACTAAGTGGTAGGAATGAGCTATGTTACTATAGTTCATGATGTATGGATGAAATTATATTTTGTCACAGAATTTTCTAGAATTCCCAGATGGTTGCTGGGACAACCTGATTTATCTTTTTATACGCCCGTTTACGGGACGTATTATGGTATACTGTTGTCAGTCTGTCCGTCCGTAGTCAACATGTCGGAAATTAACTCAAAATCACTTTAACCAATTTGCATAAAACTTTGGTGAATTGTTTATATCTATTGACATGAGCTCCATTTCTTTTTTTATAAATTTTAGATTTTATGTTTCCAAGTTATGTGGTTTTATTCATTAAAAAAAGGGGGATTTTCCAGTTTTCGGACAATAACTCAAGAATGCTTTCACCAACTTGCAAGAAATTGTGTTGAATTGTTTATATCTATTGACATGAGCTCCCTTTCGATTTTTATATATTTCAGATTTTACGTTTCCGAGTTACAGGGTTTTATTCATAATAAAAGGGGGATTTTCTAGTTTTTCGGACAAAAAATCAAAAATGCTTTCAGTAGTTCTCATGAAACTTTGGTGAATTGTTTATATCTATTGATGTAAGCTCTGTTTAGAATTTTATAAATTTTACATTTTACATATCTGAGTTATGGGGTTTTATTCATTAAAAAAGGGGGGATTTTCCAGTTTTCAGACAATAACTCAAAAATGCTGTCAGCAATTCTCATGAAACTTTGGTGAATTGTTTACATGTATATCTATTGATGTAAGCTCCCTTTACATTTTCAAAATTTCTAATATGACATTGAGAATTAATTGAACTTTAATTGTTTATAGTCTAACAACAGATTTACTAAGTATTGCGCAACAGCACAGTGTAATGCACAACAGCAAGAAATCTTTAATTGAATATAAATTCAATTCATATAACCAATTTCATGTTCTCTGACTACATTTATTCAGAAACCTATAATATGCATATGTCAAATATTTAATACAATCAAAACAAAGCCCTGTATCAAGCTTGAATATTGTGTCCATTTTTGCCCCAACTGTTCAGGGCTGGACCTCTGCGGGCGTATCCAGCTGGGCTCAGCGAAGCAGTTTATTTTATTTGAGCATCACTGATGAAAAGATAGAAAAACAACATGTTATAAATTTCATGCATCTAAACATCTAAAGAGCTTTCTTGGATTTACCTTCCTCGGGAACACTCAAAGCCGAATATTTGAAAGCCAAGGATGTATAACTAAGAACCAAAACATTTGAAGATCTATATAAACATATACAAAATGTAAAGGAACTAAAAAATAAAAATAACATATTCCTTATAAATATTTCGGTTTTACACGGGAAACTCCACACTAAAATTTACGACAAAAGGGACAATTTTTCGTTCCCTATTGTTAATTTTCCCTTTTTGGATGGTGATGTTCCTTTGGCACCATCTTAAGGTGAATATATTTCACAACTCGTTCGCTATGCCCGTGTCTTTTGTGACGTTTTTGATTTTAAAGAACGTAATCTATGTATTGCTGGTAAGTTATTAAGCCAGGGATTTCGTTACCACAAATTACTTAAAACCTTTACTAAATTCTTCCACAGATATAAAGATTTGGTTTTGAAGTTTGGTTGTACCTGAAGAAAACTTATTTCAAACAGGATTGCACATTCTCATTTTACGGCACTATTGTTTACCGTGCCCGGAAATTTAGAAACAATCCTGGTAAACTTATTGATCCATTAAATAAACTCTTTCTAAAAGGTTACCGATTCAACACTGTAATTAGATCATTAAATATTGTTTTTATTGGTACTAATATTGATTTTGTTATCAGTAAATTAAAAGCAAACTAAATATTATTGTTATATACATATACACATTCATGGATCTACAATCTGTAGATACCATTACCTGTATCTTGGCATTGCACAAGGTCATGTTTTTCTCTGACTGTTTATGACGTCTTTACACTAAATCCATTGGATGTTGGATGTGTACGGATTGATAATTTAGTCTTAGCTGCATGATTATTTTTTATTAGTTGATAATAGTGGCTTTGAACTAGCTGTCAGTAACTGCGAGTACTCTCAGATCTGTTCTTAGTGTCTTTTTGTTGTTTGGATGTACAAGTACCCGGCCACGTCCACTTGTATTTGTAGTATTTGTATTTTTATCCATCTGATGAGTTAAGCCTCTTTCAACTGATTTTTATAGTTCGTTCTTATGTTGTACATGTTGTACTGTTACACCACTGTCCCAGGTTAGGGGAGGGTTGGGATCCAGCTAACATGTTTAACCCCGCCACATTCTGTATGTATGTGCCTGTCCCAAGTCAGGAGCCTGTAATTCAGTGGTTGGTGTTTGTTTATGTGTTACATATTTGTTTTTCGTTCATTTTCTGTACATAAATTAGGCCGTTAGTTTTCTCGTTTGAATTGTTTTACATTGTCATTTCGGGGTCTTTTATAGCTGACTGTGCAGTATGCATGGGATTTGCTCATTTTTGAAGGCCGTACGGTGACCTATAGTTGTTAATTTCTGTGTCATTTGGTCTCTTGTGGAGAGTGGTCTCATTGGCAATCATACCACATCTTCTTTTTTATATTTGTAACATAATTTCATACTGTAAATTCAGAAATTATTGCAATGTTTTTATTATTGCGAAAAATGCAACAGGGTTATAATCACAATAATTTACACTCGCATTTTGAAATTTTTTTATGAATTAAACAGGATTTTTCTCAATATCGCGAAAATTAAAATCGCATTTGAGTCCAAAATGACAAAATCGTAATAATAAATGCACGCAATAATTTCTGAATTTACAGTATCAATTAACATGTAAATCTATCAGAGGTCAATTCCAATTTTAACATTATTTTAATATTTATTTATGAATATTTTAATAAATCAATGTGAAGATGTCACTAACATGACCATGTCATGACTAGACAGCATTAGATCTTTGTAAAATATATTAAATCTCTTTATGAAAAAGACTAATCATGATAGTTATAGGTCTCCTTGATGTAAAAAATACATGATAGGATATGTTTGTTTTAACATTTAAAATATATGAAAAGGGTTGGGTGTTGGATGTCTCAGCTGTTCAACCCTACCACAAAAGCATTGAAGTGCACCCACCAAGTACATAAAGTACAAAGACAACCCAGAGTCACTGAAAGCAACATTGGGTTTTAGTTTTTATTAAGCAACTGATCAAGTCTATAGGTTGAGATATCCAAAATCTGTCTAACCCCACAACATATTTTGGTCATGTTCATGTCCAAAATCAGGAACCTCATCAATAGTTGTGTTAGTTGATATCTTAATGGTCTTTTGTTGATGGCAGGTCTTACTCTTAGACTCTTATTGTTAGAATGATTTACAATTTATATAGATTTGGTGCGATATAGGTTTTGACAGATTATATATACTCTTGGCTATTATTAAAGACTCTATGTTGTTATCTTAATGTCGATTGGTTATTTGTGTGGTTCAGTAACCCATGTTACTGTCTCATTGACATATACACCACATTTTTTACTTATTGAATAGGGAATGAGTGGAATAGTAAGTTTATTGTCCCCTGAGGTGCAACTATTGCCCTGAGGCATAGCCAAGGCCAATAGTTGTATCTGAGGGGACAATAAACTTACTATCCCACAATTACAAGTTAGTAAATGTATTTTTATTAGGAAAGACACAACAGACGATAAATGTGGGGGCTAAATCAACTATAGCAATATAAAAATCAGAAACACAACCACTGTTTTTAACGTTTAATCATATATAATATTTTGAAATCTATAGCTACGTCCCACACTAACATGAACCCTAGATACAATAGGTAAAAGGCGACATTGCAACTCCTGCGATATTCTCAACATTCAACATCCAATCCCGTGGCTGCATTTGAAATTCTGCGAATAATAATGATGCTTGTGGTCGAATAGTTTCACTGAGGTCCAATAGTTGGAAACTATTGACCGGTCAAATAGTTCAATGCTTGCAATTTAAAAAATAGTGAAAATATTGCTTACTTATTTTATATATATATATATAGAATATGATATCTGAGGTATAATAATTACTATTATTTTGTAGTTACATGTACCTACATGTACGATATCAAATTGGGTTATGGATGTCTCAGCTGTTAAACCCTACCACTAAAGGATTGAAGTGCACACACCAAGTACAAAGACAACCAACATTGGCACAGTCACTGAAAGCAAGCTCAAAGTACTTAATCTTTTGATAGAAAACATGCAGTCCAGTATTAAAATGTGCAATCTAACCAGGAACATATATAGATATACTGTCCCCAGGTCTAACATTTGAAATTGGTTGCTCATTTTGAAATAAATGAAGAACATTGTCAATGCAAAATATACCTGGAGTCGGTTTCACAAAAAAAAAAAACATACGACTAAGATTGATAGTAGGTATTCTGAATTGTTCATGACTTACAATCAATCTTAGTCATAAGTTTTTTTTTTTTGTGAAACGGACTCCTGTGACCAATAAACAATCATTGACAATATGTACCTCCCAGAAAATAACAAAGACAAATGTTTTCCAATATCGTTTGATATGATAAAAATCACTGCAAGAATTGTTACTTAGTTAATGCCATGTTTTTATTGAGATCAGTTGTGATTAACAATTTTTACTATTATTGTTCATTTTAGTCTGGTCTATTTTCATAGAACTGTAGAAATAAGATCACATCCCAATCCCAATTTAAACTGTTTTACTTCCAAAGGTGCATACATTTGGGGATGGGGGCAGGGGTCCCGGGTTCTGTCCACATTTTTGAGCTACATTTTTGGTTAATGCATAGACTTGTCTTGTAGCTATATATATATAGACGTTGCATTGTTTGCCCCCTTTCAACGGTATTATACTCTTACTGACACTCGGTTATTATCGCAATGTTCATCCCTCCCCCTTTTTAATAAAACGCAGCATATTTTAATGCCGAAACTAAATTTGCCACGTTCAATGATTGTCTTCAGTTATTTAATAATAAACACGTCGAATTGAGATGCAATAAATAAGGGAACGTACAAACCAAGAGTGGGATAAGATATCAAAATACACGAGGGTCAATGACATTGTTGTTTTGGTTATGCAATACTTATTTGAGACTTTATTGGTATTGCTGGAATTCTACAATGAAATAAAATAAACTTACCATAAAATTAAGAATTCACAGTTGATAAAAATCACTTTCCAAGGCAGAATATGTGAAATAGGTCACCGCTTCAGGTATCCGCCATTATCACTCATATGTAAATGCCCGTATGTTTATATATGTTTTTAAGCTTTCTGAATTCTTAGTGCGAACATACACATGCTCGATATATATCCTTTTAATTTCTTAAACGCCTTAGGTCCGGAATGGTTTTTGTTGTCCAGAAATTAAAGAATACATTAAGATACAATTATATACTGTAGAAATTAAGATATATGTAGGTTTTCTGATAAATAATCATGTTTAAAATTGGTGGTCACCTTACTATCGTTTGTACCAATTCGGATATATACGAAATTGAGGGTGGGTCCATTAAAAGTTTAATAACTTTTTTATTCTAAAACATTATAAAGTAATTTTTGGTGTTTTGAAATTCTTAAATGTTGCTCTTTCGAATGGTACATTTTTCAAGCTCAGAATCTTAACAGTTTTCTCTGTAGATCATCTCAAAGTTAAGGTAGCCAGTCCAAAAGGTGACATTATGTCGAGGGCTACATAACTGATCAAAATACCCCCCAGCCGGTGACTTTCCTATGCTAAGATAGCTATATATATATATATATATATATATAAGAAAATTTATCACTTTGCTGGTAACATATAAGAAAATTGATAAAATATAATAACGGTTTCAATTCATCACTTTTAAAGTGATGAATTGAAACCGTTATTATCTTTTATCAAGAAAAGTACTTAACTTTTCTCTCTCTTTATATATATATATATATATATATATATGTATTCATGAAATAAATAGTAAAATAAGTAAAGAAGTTAACAGTTCCAGTTCAATCGATTTCATCCTTCCATTGGGACTCTTCAGGATAACTGATTTAGCGTCTTTATGGGCGACGTCGTTAAAGAGGCTTGTGACGTTCCGGCATTTTTCATAATTAAAAGTTCTCGGGATTTAATTATGAATAATGCCGGAACGTCACAACGCCTATAACGACGCTAAATCAGTTATCCTGAAGAGTCCCCACTGGAAAGATGAAATCGATTGAACTGGAACTGTTAACTTGTTTACTTATTTTACTATTTATTTTATAAATATATATATCTGCACATGTGAAAATTATTTTTTTACGCATATATATGTATATATATATATATATATATATATGACTTTCTGACACAACCCGAATGTTAACAAAATCACCATAATATATATTGTACTTACATGTATTTCCTCCTACTGTGTGATTCAATGGTCAGTTATTGTAAGCTTTCTTATGAGTAGCACAGTTGTTGTTACCCTCGAGTTATGACTTCATTTTGTTAACTTCTTCAAAGAAAGCGGTATGATAAGAGATCCTTTATTGTGGTCCTAGAATTACATAAAAAGTAAAATTCTTCAAGCCTTACAAAAAGTTAATTTTATTGATATAGGGATAGGATGATGTACTTGGGACATTTAAGTGCAATACTAAATACTAATGATGTCATTAAAATTTTATAAATATGTCGCAATTGGCATATTAATGACCTAATATGGCATTGTATTAATAGATAATGATACAAGAAGATACTATGTAAGGTATTATCCCCCCATAATACCAACATTTAAATTTTGTTTAATATATCTTGTAACACTATATCTTTCGAGGCAATATATTCGCTCATTCCAGGATCATTTCATCAGCGCCTGCATATGTGTATAGAGTATATAACTTATATGTTTTGCAATATTCCAGGAGTTCCGTTCCCTCTCATGATTTTCTTGATAGAAGGTTTTTGCTTATTCAAGTTATTCCTGATTTCACGTTTTTTATATTCGTTAGTTTCATTCGTATATGTGAATAAGTTGTTTAAATATGTATTGATGTCTTGTACATTTGTACGTTCGAAATGGCATTTTTGCGTTTCTAGTTGTTTTCTTTGTCTTGGATAATTAAATAAAACTAACACAACTTATAACACGAAGAAGTTAACACACACAAGCCAAAAATTCCTTTAAATGAGCGTACTTGTATATATTGTACAGATAATTGTGTTGAGGATGAAAAACATTTTTTGTTAGGGTGCGATTTTTATGCAGATTTAAGATATGATTTAATGAAGAAATCTGGTGATATTTGTGAGACTTTTAACGATCTTGATTTACAGGACAAATTTATTTTCTTAATGTCAAATGATGCAATTCAACCATTTTTAGCAAAAACTTTATATCACATGTTTTATCGAAGGAGGTATTGTGTGTAATAATATTTTAGTACATTAGTTTTAATTGTTTTATAAAATGTGTTATATTTTTAAAGTGTCTCATAAGTCAGTTATTTGGCTGGGTACCAATATTCTAATTGTAATATTTAATTTTTAATTTTTAATTGCATATTATGTAATTATGTATTCATTGTGTTTTATATTGGTATGTGACACTATAATAAATTATTCTGATTCTGATTCTGATTCTGATTAACATTTGATTGTGATAAAACGGTGAGCAAAGAAGGATAAACATAATCAGCTGAATAAATTATCATTATCAATGGAAGCATTTTTGTAAATAATTATGTTGGTTTTAGCTTAACCTTAATTCACTTAGGTACTTTGTTGTGTGTTGTTGTACAGAGTCCCTTGTTGGTATTACAATGTATTTCAATCTTATTTAGTAATGTCTGTTTGAAACACTTGTTGTTTTTGTCAAATATATTTTAATGTGCATTTGCAAATAAAAGATCGTGAGATCAAATAACTGCCCTCGTTTCTGTTTTTTGTACACAAATGCAAACCCTAAAAGAAACAAAAAACACGATTTATAAATATAAATTCATACAGTGCATATTTTAGGACACAAATGCCACATCAGATAATTATGTCCTATTTTAACTCAAAGTTTAATCTTTCACTAAGAGCATTTAAACAGGTCTGTGATTTGCCAGGGGTAACCACCCTTTCACAATTTACAAGATGACTGTCAAATACTTCAGGCTTTCCAAGATGTTTTAGGTATATGGTGTCAAATTATTTTCTGCTTATATCTTTAATTTTGGAATATGTCTTGTTTTTGTATCTCAATTGTATAAATGTTATAAAGCGTCTTATAATGCAGGTGTGAAATACAGTAAAAGATGGATAACTCCATCTAGATAATACAGTAGAAAATGTGCGGCTTATGAGACTTAAAGATAGCAAGCATATATAAATATCATAACAGTTTAGGGTCTGGCATGTACTTGGAGATTACAGTTTGCTTGTAATCAAATCAAGGGAATTAATGATAACTGTGAATTCATTTATTTTCCTGGGTACCAATTTCGCGTATCGTGGAAAAATAAATTTTTCGTCGATACTTGATTTCGTTGTTTTGCCAAAATATGCATACAAGACTATAGAAAATGTACATTTCGTTGACTTTTTAAAATTGTGATTCACCTTTACCTACGAAATCCACGAGTATACAATGAAAAATAACAAATCCACGAGTATACAATGAAAAATAACGAATCCACGAGTATACAATGAAAAATAACAAATCCACGAGTATACAATGAAAAATAACAAATCCACGAGTATACAATGAAAAATAACGAATCCACGAGTAAACAATGAAAAATAACGAATCCACGAGTATACAATAAAAAATAACGAATCCACGAGAATACAATGAAAAATAACGAGTATACAATGAAAAATAATGAACAGAAGGATTTTCTACATGTTCTACGATAAATTAACACTACGATTGGATATCGTAACTTAAGTAATTCAGTTTCTGCATATCAGTCCAGATCTACATCTAACTTGCTTTGCTTCGTCGAAGTTATGAACATAGTAAAATCTCCGATTTATATTTCAATTAGAATGTTCTAGAACAGTTTAAAAATTTGTCATCACAATTGTTAGTTATATTGTACAAAAAATGTATACGGGAGCTACCGTTTGATCCTGCCTTTTTTTTTTTAGTGTATCCTGACTTTTTTTTTTACATAAATTGTCATCCTGCCTTCTTTTTTTGGCAAAGTGTCTCATCCTGCCTTTTTTTTTTTTTTATCAAATTTCATCCTAACCCCTCCCCCCCCCCCCCAAAACAAAATCAAATGGTAGCTCCCTAACTATAATGTGAATCTTGTGAAATAGCACGTGAAATTTCAACTAAGCGTGACTGACTACCTTGTAAAAGCGACGGTTCTATTAATACCTGTTGTCAATTTCAAGATCTGTTCCGACATGCATAAAATATATATCACTGGACGTTAAAATTCCATCAATATCATCTTTGTCAAATATTGCTGTTGGTTTCTTTTTTTACATGTACATGCATACACTCTAAGTTATCCAAATGTAATCTCATTAAGATATTTAGTGCAAAGAAAATTTTAAAGATGAAAGTGCAATATGCTGAATGCTTCGAATTATATAACCCAAATCCC